TTTGGTTCCTCAGTTTCCAAATGGATTCTCACTAGGTGGGATCATGAGTTTGCTTTGGACACCCCAAATTCTAGCTATTTATTTTGTTTCTCACATCCTTTCCTTCTTTCCCAGCCCCTTCCCCTCATGTTACACCTCTTGCTAGTTTGAGATGTCAGTCACCACTGAGAAAGAATTAAACCAGTATTTTGAGCTGGCAAAATTCTTAGCCTAGTACAATTCCTTCAATTAAACTGTAGCTCAACAATAGTGTTCTCTAAAAATACGATTTACTTTTCTATCTAGCAACTCAGAATATTTTCCATAACTCCTCCAGGGCAGAGTGGATTATGTTGGCATGTTAGGAGGAAGTAGAAGGAAGAAAATGAATTGAGATGTACATTTTGCTTCCATGTTAAAGTCACCAAAACAGCAGTTGAAGGGATATTTGTGTCAGGCAGTAGGGAGAATAAATACCACCCTAAAAAAACAACCACACATACACCCAAATTCTCTCACTTCTCAGAGAATGAGGAAGGAAAGAAAAGAGAGAAGCAAAATATGAACTTGAGTGAAAAATCACAGAGGAGCCTGTAGCTATTTAGGGAGGGCTGCTGGCTGAGGTCAGACAGGAAGAAAAAGATCAAAACACCCTGCCCTATTTTTCAGGTTCATTCAGGTAGAAGACAAAAACATAAATATGGGAGAAAGGAAGCAAGCCACATCTTTTTCCTCTTGTCTCCCCGGAACTGAACAGAGTCTCTGATAAGCCCAGGCCCTTCTATTGTAGACACTGACACTAAGCACAGAAAATGACCCAAAAACATTTCTAATGGGGTGAATATGATGCTTCAGTTTACTTAGGATGTACCAGAGGCCATTGACGAAGGAGATCCATAGCTTGCTTACTGAAGCTTATTGCTTTCTCTTCTTAGTTCCCATCGCCAGGCTCTATGCCATTCCTTGCTTGTGAAGTGAGACCACTGATTTCCCTTTGTTAGGTAGGATATGATTTCCTGACAGAGATCTGTCCTAACACCAAATAGCTATGATGAAATTCCTTGGTTATTTTGCCTTTTTGTGTGCCTTATCATTACTGGAATGCTAAAGGTGTAGGAATAAAATTTCCCTGAGTTCCCAAGAAATACAGTGTGATGGAAAAAGTGCAGCCTAGGGGCTTACTAGTTATGTGACCTGTGGTTCATTCCATACTTACTTCATCTGTAAAAGGGAGATCATGATAGTATCTATTGCAAAGGGTTTTGTGATAATTCTCTCTCTTTCTTTCTCTCTCTTTCTCTCACACACACACAAGCACACATTTATATAGTACTTAGAAAATAAACTCATAATAAGCAATTGACAAATGTTAGTTATTATTATTATGTAGGCAGATCAGATTTTAGAGTTTGTGAGACTTAGACACATTTACACAGAAGAAAGAGCAGCCCTCCCAACTTTCTGGTCCAGCGCCATATCCTCCATTTCCTCCCCACCCCTTGCCATCTATCAACCCCCATCTCCTCTACATCTAAATACAGGCCCCCATTTGATCCATATTGTCTAGGCCCTTCTTCTCCTCTCCACATGGCCCTTCCTTCAGCTCTGAGGGAAGCTGCAGAAGCCCAGCCATGGTGCTGTCTACAAAGAAGGGGACACACGCCTCTTCCACCCGCTCATGCTGTTACTGCATCTGATCATCTCCGCGCCATGTCCTCATTCACTTAGCCTAAGTTGGGTGTCTGTCTCCATTTCCAAATGCAATAAAACATTTGGGAAAGACTAAGGTAGGTGTGGGCAGAAAAAAGGGAAGAAGTTAGACCCAGTGGCTTGACCACCCTCTGATGCCTCCTTATCCTCAGCTGCCACAAGCCCTCACCAGTGTGAGCTCCACAGCCATGCACCTGGAGAAGTACTCACAACCAGGGTCAAATGCCTTGTACTTGGGGTCTACCAGTAAGCCTGTGGCCAGTCTTCCACTTCATGAATCATCACATTTACATGAGAGATGTGGAGAGAGAGGTGTCAGCCTCCTAGCTCCTGTCCTGTAGCGGTTAAGTCAGGTCAGGCCAGGCTGTGGTAACCAACAACCTCCAGGGCTTTCATTAAAGAACAGTTGTTTCTCATTCATAGAGTGTGTTGTAGGTGTGAGTGATTCCCTGGGGCAGCTGCTCTTCCTGGTGACTCAGCTAATTAGACTGCTTTTCTACTGGGATTGTGCCATCTCAACACAAGGCTGTCTTGGTTGACTTGGTAGGGGAAGAGGAGAAGAGTCATGTGCGGGGAGTTAAATTCTTTGACCAGGAACCTTTTGTTCACTTTCCATTGGTGAGAACAAGTCGCACAGCTCCAGGAGAGTAGAAAGTCTAGTTTCTTGTTTTCCATGGGCCTAGAAATTAGAGGATGAACATTAGCGATGTCTTCCATGTCTTCTCTCTTTTTCTTTACCTGTTATGATCTCCCATGGGGAAGAAATTATTTTTCTGATTGGTCTGATCCAGGCCTCTAACCAAGGCCATGTTTACTAAGGGTCATAGAATAGTAAAAGTTTGCACAATTGCATTTCACCTCTCTTTTCTGAATCCTGCTTAATTAACTTTAAAAACTCACTTACAAACCACTTCTTGCTCTTCTTAGTTATCAAATATATTTTCTTTCAACTCCTTTTTGACAGATCTTATCTTTTCTCAGCTGAGTCCATCACAACCATCTAAATGGAACTCCCTTGTTCCCCTCTCTCCCCTGCTAATCATCCTGTCTTTGTTCTTTTATCTGAAGAAGTGTACCTTTCTTCCCCCAAGCCTTATGCTCGCTATCTTAGTCCATTTGTGTTACTGTAACAAGATACATGAGACAGGGTAATTTATGAAGAACAGAAATTTATTTCTCACAGTTCTGGAAGTTAGAAGTTCAAGGTCATAGCTCTGGAGGATTTGATGCCTTGGCCATTGACTTGAAAAAAAAAAAAAGTCACTGCCGTGAACTTGTGGTTACCATGATATCCTGGGTTCATTCTTAATGTGCACAGTATAGGCAAATCAGGGCCACATTTCATGCTGAAAGATGATGTGAAATGATGAGTAAACATTGCCCTTTAAATAATAATAACATAGATGGTGAATTACAATTTGCACTTTTAGTTTCATTTGCTTAAAGATAGTGTTTTACTGTCTAGGTTTTACTGAAAGAATACTTAACTAAACACTTCAGTCAAATCATTCCAATGTAACAGTCCTCACAAGGGAGAAGGCAGAAGGGCAAAAGTGCCAAGGTATTCCCTCCAGCCCTTCTATTTTTATTGGTTGACTGATTGATTGATTAAGACAGGACCTTGCTCTGTTACCTATGCTGGAGTGCAGTGGTGCATTCATGGCTCACTGCAACTTTGAACTTTTGGGCTCAAGCAGTCCTCCTACCTCAGCCTCCAAAGTAGCTAAGACCACAGGTGCATTTTTCTTTAATATTTTTAAATTTTATTTAGACACGGGGGTCTCACTATGTTTTCCAGGTTGGTCTCTAACTCCTGGCCTCAAGCAATCTTCCTCCTCAGCCTCCCAAAGTGCTGGGATTATGGGCATGAGCCATCATCGCTGCTGTCTCTAGCCCTTTTTAAGTCTCTAATCCCATTCAGGAGGCCTCTGCATTCATGACTTAATCACCTCCTAAAGGGCCCACCTTTTGATACTATCACATTGGTGATTAAGTTGCAACACATGAATTTTGAGTGACATTCAGACCACAGCATTTTGGAGAAAATTGTCCCTTTCTTTTCTTTTTTATCTTCAGTTCCTCTTTTCTACAGATGCCTTCCACTTCACTTGGAACCTTGTTAAGATCTCTCCTGTCTTAAAAGTTTCTTTTTGCAGAACACCAAAACTCATTCCTTCTGTCTAACTGTAACTTTGTACTTGTTACCAACCTCTACCCATTTCTACCCCTGACTCCCCAGCCTCTGGTAACTACTAATGTACTCTTTACTTCGAAGAGGTCAACTTTTTTAGATTCCACATAAGAGTGAAATCACGTAATATTGTCCTTCTGTTCTTGGTTTATTTCACTTAACATAGGGCCCTCCAGGTTCACCCATGTTTTTGCAAATGACAGGATTTCATGCTTTTTTTATGGCTGAATAGTATTTAATCATGTATATATATCACATACTAATTACCTTGATTTAATCACTACACAATGTATATGTGTGCTGAAGCATCATGCTGTGCCCCATAAATATGTACAATTATGATGTGTCAATTTAAAAAACCCAAGAAAAGTATTTTTTCTTGGTGTTGTTTTTTCTCAAGTGTATCCCATTTTTCTTTGTTTTCACTTTCAAAATTCTTGAAAGACTCTTTTAATCTGCTCCTTTTGTTTTCTTGTTTCCAATTCAGTCTTTTGAAATATGGCTTCTACCTTTAACACTCTGCTGTCCTCTTGAAGGTTATTGGTGCCCTACTAATCATAAAACACATTAATGCTCTCTTATATTGTATCCTGGTGAGCCTTTTTGCAGAATTTTATTATTTGAGAATTCTCTTTCCGTGGTTTTATTTATTTATTTATTTTATTTTTTTGTGGTCCTTTTGGCTTATAGGAAACCGTACTCTCCAAATTTCTTCTCTGATAATCCCTTTACTAAATCCTCTTGAGGCATATGCTTCAGAATGCTTAATTTACATACTCTTAATTCCTTCTTAATTTATACACTGCCTGTTGTCAATGTCAACACCCCATAGGGAGGGAGGCCTATTGGTCAGAACAGGCCAGGGAATAGAAGAATACATAATAAACAGTCTGCTTAGTTCTTCTAGGGCCCCATAATGTGTCGAATATATATTTTTACTTCTTCTCCCAGGCCATTTTTAATATACCTAAATTGCTATCAGTGATTCTGCAGGCAAACAATGGTTGAGTGGTATGACACAACTTTGTGAAAGTATCCTACCCAGTACCTGATGATGCAAAACTCTTCTATCTTGATTGGTTGTCAATCCGAGGAGTTTCCAATCCTGGGGAAGCCAGAAAAACACCTATTTATACTCTTAATGAGTACTTTTTGAAACCATTCTGAAGAGGCTGACGATTTGACTATCTCATTTTTTTGCTTTCTGCAGAATGGGTTCTGGGTGGGTCCCCTGGGTGGTGGCTCTGCTAGTGAATCTGACCAGACTGGATTCCTCCATGACTCAAGGCACAGACTCTCCAGGTAAGAACAGAGCAATTATTTTTTTCCAGTGCTTATGCAAGAGCTGGCATGGGGGAGTGATGCCTTTCCTTATAAGTCCAGGCCACAGATCAGACTGGAAGTGGCTTTTGGTTTCAAAGAGCAGTGTTCCGCCCTTTGGCAGAAAAGTACATCTTCCCTCTTTGCATGGGATGGACTTCATATACCACAGCCACCTATTAAAGAGGGGTAGGGAGGCAGAAAGAGGGAAACATTGTGTTTTGTTTAGGGTCCTTATTGTGTATATCAACCTCAGTCAGAGACTGGGCATGTTCAAGGCCTTGGCCAGGGTTCGAGCATGTTCAAGGCCTTGGCCAGGGTTTGAGGCATTCTGTGATTTTTCGGTCAGGACACGGAAAGAAACCTCAGTTGGGGTATATGTGGACAAATGAAACTGGAAACAAAGGTTGCTCCTTCTGTCATTTATTAAGCCGCTATTATATGGTCAGAATTGTACTAAACAGTTTTGAGAAGTAAGAGAAGTTGAATAGAATACATTGTCTTTGTCCTCAGGCTACCAGGTACAAGTTACTTGTCACTGTTATTTTTCTAGCACAGGTGACAGACGATACAACCATGAAGCAATGTGAGACCATGAAAACACATATTAATGAGCAGAAACAGGATGTAATGTGCTAAGAACAGAATCCACTTTGCATGTTAGTTTCATTAAATACAAAACAGGAACAAACCTGGCTGGGGGAGATCATCATTCTTAGAGAAGAGAAACCGCCCTGAGTCTATAATGTCCATTAAACAATACAACTGAAAAAAAAAAATCAGCACAGATTTTAAATGATGATGAAAAATTCATATTTCCCCCTCTGGTTTAGACTACTAGAGGAAATAGAGAAGAATATACATGCTGAGAAACTGCAGGCTGTAACTTCATCTGACATTAGGTACTGAGTGAGGGATAAGTGGGGTTCACCCAGGAAGGTCATTCTTATGGCTCAGTTCAGAGTTGCAGGAGGCTTCTGAACTTAGGAATGAAAGTGAATTTACAACCCAACATTAATAGCAATTATCCTTCAAGTCTTGACTTAGATGCAGTTTCTTCGGGAAGTCCTTCCTGACTTACCTACATTATTAACCCCATTTGAATTTCCTTTTTATTGCAGTTGTTGCTGTTAAGTGCATAGAATTGGTTTAATTTTACCCAGTGAGTTCACAGCACATTGTAATTATTGGCAGTAGTACAAGACTCTCTCTTCTCTTCCCTTGCCTCTATTCTCATTCTCTCCTCTCCCTAGAGAATCCATTCTAAACATGTCTGGTGTCTCTAAGTAGGAGAGTGGCCTTTAGAAATATGTAGCATTATTTCCCTTTATGTAATTTTAAAATTTAGTAAATATCATTGTGTGTTGAATCACATTCTGTTTCTTTTCTCACTTGACACTGTGCTTTTTGAGCATTCTGAGGTCAAAGGCCTCCTCTTAGATCCATGTGGTCTGACGTAACTTACCAGGCATGGGTTTTCCCAGAGGAGGGGGCTGGTTCATGGTCCCTGTTTTGGTTTTCCAGAAGATTTTGTGATTCAGGCAAAGGCTGACTGTTACTTCACCAACGGGACAGAAAAGGTGCAGTTTGTGGTCAGATTCATCTTTAACTTGGAGGAGTATGTACGTTTCGACAGTGATGTGGGGATGTTTGTGGCATTGACGAAGCTGGGGCAGCCAGATGCTGAGCAGTGGAACAGCCGGCTGGATCTCTTGGAGAGGAGCAGAGAGGCCGTGGATGGGGTCTGTAGACACAACTACAGACTGGGCGCACCCTTCACTGTGGGGAGAAAAGGTGAGCTGGAAGGTGAGGTCTGGCGGGGCTCAGGAATGTCCCCCATGTGAACCTGGCCACGGCTCTTCTTCCTTGTAAGCAATTTTCTGCTTTAGGATAAATGGTTGTCTGTATAGATGTTCTGGCCCCAGCTGTGATGCATTATCCTCACAAGTCAGCCACTGTGATCTTGGTCTCAGACCCCCAAGTTTCTCAGGGACTTCGAGGGCTAGTGTACTCTCAAAGAGAAGCAGTAATCGTGGGAGTACCTCAGAAGTCTAAATCCTCCTGGCAGACACTGACATACCCCGTTACTGAGCCTGGGGACTGAGACTTGCCCACACTTTGTGTTCGCCTGGGTGATCTGGGAAAGAGATTGACATAGTGATGGTCCCTAAAGACTCTCCTGTCCCAGCTTGGTGGTTTTCTTCCACAATGTCTCATTTTTCTCTCCCTTCCTAGTGCAACCAGAGGTGACAGTGTACCCAGAGAGGACCGCACTCCTGCACCAGCATAATCTGCTGCACTGCTCTGTGACGGGCTTCTATCCAGGGGACATCAAGATCAGGTGGTTCCTGAATGGGCAGGAGGAGAGAGCTGGGGTCATGTCCACTGGCCTTATCGGGAATGGAGACTGGACCTTTCAGACTGTGGTGATGCTAGAAATGACTCCTGAACTTGGAGATGTCTACACCTGCCTTGTCCATCACTCCAGTCTACTGAGCCCCGTTTCTGTGGAGTGGAGTGAGAATTAGTTTCTAGTACTCTCTGGGCCTGACTCAGGACTATACTGACTCAATACAGAGCCTGTGTCACTTCTGCATTTATCTTGGTCACAGCATGAATTATTCTTTCCCTTGATCTGAGACAGTCACAGAAACCGGAGTCCTTGGGTTAGGGTGGGAGAAAACATGGTAGATATCTATCCTCATATCTTCCAAGAAATGAGGAGGTCTAATCACCTCATTATGTGCTTCCAACCCTATGAACTTGTGTCCTCCAATTCTTTGGTTTTAGTATTCAAGAGGCATTCTTATGGGCTGTAAGAATTAGTAACAGATGGCTGGTAACTCCATGGGTGCCAACTTTGGTTTCAAAGAACCATTTTAAAATTTATTTATTTTTCTCTAGCTAGCATTGGATTTGGTGTCTAGTACAGATTCTGGGATTTCAAGAAGATGCTTTAAATATTGGGATGTTTTTACTAAATTTAAGACCTGTTTTCCATAGGAGTTCAGTCTGAATATTCTTGGAGAAAGATGCTGAGTGGCATTGCAGCCTTCCTACTTGGGCTAATCTTCCTTCTGATGGGAATCATCATCCAGCTTAGGGCTCAGAAAGGTAATGAGCCTGTGAGGAGTGCCCTGCCGCCTGTCCCAGACCTTCCCCACTCCCACCTTCCCTAACGTCAATGATCTGAGGCAAGGAAAGCTGATTGTACCTCTCAGGGATCACTGGGATAATTTTTTCGGAAGCTGGAAACAGAGGATAAGCAGAAAGAGTGCTGACATTGCCAGTCATTTGTTCTTCCCTCAGGATAATCATATTGGGTCCTAATTGGGGCAATCCATTCTTTTCTCGATTTCTTTCCAGGATATGTGAGGACACAGATGTCTGGTGATGAGGTAATATCTCTTTTCCCTTGTCTTTGAGTGGCAGATCATTCTCCCGGTTCTTTGGCCAGAAGGAGATGCCATGGGGGTAGGGAGGAGTAAGGTTGGTGCTGTCTGGACGGGACTGTCCCCTGAGTCTCTGGAACGGCTGTGGGGAGTGGTGAGGCTGCCTGCTGAGACCCTCATCACTGTTCCTCCAGGTCTCAAGAGCTGTTCTGCTCCCTCAGCCATGCTGAGGTCCTGACTGAAGCTTCTCTCCCTGGAGCCTGAAGTAGTGATGAGTAGTCTGGGCCGTGGGCGAGGTAAAGGACATCCATGAGGTCAATGTTCTGGGAATAACCCTCTTCCCTGATCCTTGGAGGAGCCTAAACTGATTCTGGAGCTCTGTGTTCTGAGATCATGCATCTCCCACGCATCTGCCCTTCTCCCTTCTACATGTATATCATTAACCCCATTGCCAAGGACACTGTCCAGAAACTCCCCTAAGACCTTACTCCTTCCAGCCCCAAATCATTTACTTTTCTGTGGTCCAGCTGTATTCCTATAAGTCATGATCTCCAAAGCTTTCTGTCTTCCAACTGCAGTCTCCACAGTCTTCAGAAGACAAATGCTCAGGTAGTCACTGTTTCCTTTTCACTGTTTTTAAAAACCTTTTTGTTGTCAAATAAAATGGAGATACAAAAAATGTACAGTTTAGTGAATTATTGAAAGAAAACCCCTGTAATCAAGTCAAGGAACAGGACTTTGCCAGCTCCAGCAGAAGTCTCTGTGTACGTCAGGCCAATCATAGCCTCTCCCTCCCCTCAAAAGTGACCATATGCTGACTTTATTGTGACCTCTTTCTTGTCTTTGTAGTCTATTCCCCCAGGTATGTGTTCCCGGACGCCACAGCTTAGTTGTCTTTTACGTCTCTTGTACTTCACTGGTTTCTCCCCCATCAACCTTTTTTCCCCCTTATGATTAATCTGTTGAAAAGTTCGAGCCATTTGACCTGTAGAGTTTCCCACACTCTGGACTTTGCTGACTGGGTACACACGGTGCGGTGTAACATGTCCTCTGCCCTGTAGGCCTCCTGCAAATTGGCATCTGGAGGCAGAGCCTGGATCAGTCTCTGGTTCGATCTTTTCCTTTGGAAAATCAGTACGCAGTGTTGTGGCCTTTCACCATGAGACACATAATTTCCAGCTGTTTCTTTTTGTGATGTTAGCAACCATTGATACTAATTGCTTAGGTCTGTTAATTTATTGGGAATTGCTGAATGGTGATATTCTGTCATTTTTTCTTCATTTATATGCTTTATTAATGCTACAAAGAGGCAGTTCCCTTCATTTACTAGTGGGCTACTCAGTGGTACAGTGGAAAGGCAGGATCAGTGTTTGACTCTCCTTTTATTTACCAATTTTCAAATTAACAAATTAGTTTCCCACTACTAATAAAATCTATAGATGGCCAATCAGGTTTTACTTTTCATTCTTAAAATAATTATAAACAGAAGGATTTAAATGTTTGATAGGTTTTACTCTATTGCAATTTTTATGCTTGTTAAAGCCTATTGCTGTATTTTTGGTGAGTGAAAACTTCTTCAAGTGGCTAATAATGAAACTGAATTCTTTTGACACAAAGTTCTTTTGATAATTTCTTTGTTATCTGGGATGACAAGATGTTTCTGGTTCATCCTGTTCATGTCTTGCCCCGACCTGGAGGCAGCCATTTTTCCAGAAATCCCTGGTTTAGTTTAGTGGGAAATTACATTTAAGACTATAATCCAGCGTTAGGGTGTTTTGTGCTGGAGTCACCTCAAAAGTGGCGTCAAGGGAGTTGCCACAAGGAAGTGCCTCAAACCATCCTGAGATGGTGTGGGTTAAGACTCAGAAAGAAGCGCTAAATGCCAGGGTGATCAGTCCAAAGCATTTATTTGGGGAATTTACCTTCAGAGGGCTTTAGGAGTCCTCGCAGACAGCAAAATAAAAGGGATGTTCTGCCTAGGTATGTCTGCAGTGAGGGGGTCAGGGTTTAGAGTTTATATGAAGGTTTAGGGCATCTGGCTCAGGGCTGGGACAAAGTTTCAGTGTTTAGAGTAACAACCTAAATACTTTTATCAGTGCCTGGGCGTGTTCAAGGCCTTGGCTTGGGTTCGAGCCTGCTGGGAAAAACCTGCAGTTAGCTGGGTCACAGAGGCATTCTGTGATTTTTTGGTCAGGACATGGAGAGAAAGCAGGGAGAGGGGCAGTGGGGGAGCCTAAATAGATGGGAGTGGTCATTGTGTCTGGCCTGATCAATGGAAAAAAACATTTATACATGTATACATTTTTAAAAAATCAGTCGTCCGAGCACGGTGGCTCATACCTGTAATCCCAGCACTTTGGGAGACTGAGGCAGGTGAATCACGAGGTCAAGAGATTGAGAACATCCTGGGCAACACGGTGAAACCCCGTCTCTACTAAAAATACAAAAATTATCCAGGTGTGGTGGCAGGTGCCTGTAGTCCCAGCTACTCGGGAGGCTGAGGCAGGAGAATCGCTTGAACCTGGGAGGCGGAGGTTACAGTGAGCCAAGATCGTGCCACTGCACTCCAGCCTGGTGACAAGAGCAATACTCTGTCAAAAACAAAAAACAAAACAAAAAAAAACAACAAAAAAACTCACCAGTCTTTTCTATATTACATCTGCATATCCTTTCTTTTACACCAAGAACTCTGGTTTTCAAAGATGCAGGGAATGTCCATACTTATTTGCTTTTCCTGGGTTAACATAGACAGCAGTCTAAGGATAATAACACTCATACTAAAACCACCAAAATCGCTACTGAAAAAGGTTGAAATTCTTTTTACCTACTTTTTCCCTATTACCTGTGTTCTCCGTTTTTACCTATGTTCTCCCCCCGTTTCTAATTGAACTGTATCTATACTAATTGATCCTGTACCACTGCATAGACTACTTGCTCCCTTATTAGTCTTAGTTCTGTGAGTAGAGAGATGTTTAACGCTCACCATCATTCCTTACGTGGATATCTCTGTCATGTGGTGGTTTTCAAGGTGTGGTCCGTGGATCCCTGGAGGTCCCTGGGACCCTTCAAGGGGCCTATGAAGTCAAGCTATTTTTGTAATAATACTAAGATGTTATTTGCCTTTTTCACTGTATTATTTACATAGTGGTACAGAAATCTATGGTGGTCACGTGAAACTGTTAGTGCCTGAGCACAAATCAAGGCGGTGACACCAAGCTGTACAAGTAGTCATGTTCTTCACTGCCATAAGCTTACGGTAAAACAAACAAACAAACAAACAAAAAGCAAAAGCCAGTGACCTTGATGAAACAATAAAATTATTAGTTTACTACGTTCGAAACCTGAAGCACACATCTGTTTAATAGTTAGTGTAAGAAAATAGGCAGCATTTCTGGTGCATGCTGATGGAAAGGCAGTTGTCCTATGGAAAAGCTATTGTGTAATTGCATGAGTTGTGAGTGAAGTTAAACATTTTTTTTTTTTTAAAGTGGGTCATCATTTTCCTTGAAAGAATGACTGAGGGGCACACTGTGATTATTCAGACTTCAGTATTTGGTAGAAATTTTCTCAAAAATGAACAAAATGAGCCTATCCCATCAAAGAAAATAATATTGACAGTGGAAATTGGAATTTCAAGAGAAAATTAAAATTTTGGAAAACTTATGTGTGCCACAGCTTCTCACTACTTAAATATTTTTCTGATGAGCTTGGTGGTGATATTAACAAATATGGTTTAAAAATATTTTAATAAAATATGTCAACACTTTAAAGATCTGCATAACCCTATGAACCAATAATTTACAAATAATCAATGCATGATATTGCAAAGTCATGAATAGAGGAAAAGATCCATTTAAAGATAGACTAGTGAATTTTAACATAACAGAATATGAAAAGTTAATTGATAAGGTTTCAGATTCCACACAGCAACTAACCTGTAAGAATCTGCCATTTCTTGAGTTTTGGTGTCTTATCAAGGAAGAACAGTTACAATAGCTGAAATGGCTATTGAAACTTTCCTTCTTTTCCCAATTGTGTATCAGAGTGAGGCCAGATTTTTTTCTTGTAGTTTAGCCAAAACGACATATTGTTACAGCTTGAATGTAGAAGAATATATAACCAAGCTAGCTTTATTAAGCCAGACATTAAAGAGATTTTTACAAATGTAAAATAATTCCTTTTTTTCACTATTTTTTTTGTGCCGGAAAAGACAGCTATTTTCCATAAAAGTATGTTGTTTATGTTAACATGTAATGGGTTTGTCATTGTTATTTAATAACAAATAAACAAATTAATATAAATGTCACTTTACATGACCCATGTAAACTAAAGTTTCTTGGTGTTCTCAATAGTTTTACGAATAAAAAGGAATCCTGATCCAAAAGACTTATAAACTACTGATGTATCATCGTGATTGTTTGAAACTATTTCTGCTAGGTGCCTCAGGAAGGCTTAGGAAAGTGTCTTAGTTTGTATGAACTGCTATAACAAACTACCAGAGACTGGGTGGCTTAAAAACAGCAGAAATGTATTTTTCACAGTTCTGGAGGCTGGAGATCTGAGATCAGTGTGTCAGCCTGGCAGGGATCTGGTGAAGGCCTGCTGGCAGCATCTTCTCACTAAGACCTCACGTGGCAGAAGGAAAGGCAGCTCTCTGGAGTCTCCCTTATAAGGGCCCTAATCCCATTCATAAGGGCTGCACCCTCCTGACCTAATCACCTTCCAAAGGCGTCATCTCCTGATACCATCACCTTGGGTGTTAGGATTTCATCACATGAATTTTGGGAAGGCACATTCAATCTACACCAGAAAGTTCTTGCACTTTGTAGTTGAAAGTCAGTTTTGTGGTTATAAAAATCTTGATTCTATTTTCTGTTGGGTATCTTAAAAAGTTACTACATTTTCACATAACTGCTATCAAAAAAATCTGATGATAATCTAATTATTAATAAGTCATTGCTACTTTTGCTGAGTATCCAGACGGTATTTTCTTTTTCTTTAGTATCCACAAATTTTATTGAAATGTATCTTGGTCGGGAGGAGGGCAAGATGGTGGACTAGATGCAGCCAGGTGGAACAGCTCTCAATGAGGAACCCAGATGACTGGCGTGCTCCTAACAGATGTTCAGACAGAAGGCATCTAGAGTGGACAGAGGGAAGACACAGAAGCTGGGCTGAAGGGGGGGGAAAGCTGGGAACCCTACATGGGGCTACAGCACATCCGGACTCATTCCTGTCCTCCAGTGACTCCAGAGAAATGGGTGAGTTGAACTGGCAAGGAGCAACCCATTGTCACCGTGACCTCTGGAACCATGGCAGGAGGAGACTCACTGACCACCGTGGACACTTGAGTTGGCAGGGAGAACTGCTTAGAGAAGTGCTAGGGGCAGCAAGCCAGCTGGTGTGGAGCCTAGAGGATTCGGTGCAGGAGCATCTGCAGTGGAGCATGGCCAGGGATGGCCATTTCCCTGGGCTCAACTTACTCCCACAGGAAACATTAACCCTAGGGGAACTGTTGGTCCTGAAATCTATAGGGTGGTCTTGCCCATCAGATGGGTATGGTTCTATCTGAGCACCCCTTGGTCTTCTGGCCTCTCTTGGGGCCCCAGCCTGGCCATGTCTGCTTGCAGGGCAGCCTCAGGTGCCCTGTGGGCCTGCACCATAGCTTCTACACTGGTAGACC